CAATTCCAAGTAATTGGAAGTGGGTCTTGAACAATCTTCATCCTTGACGTGTTTAAAGACCTTATTTATCGTATCCATTTGATGGAAACACTTATCGGTATCGACTTATATCTTTTTTACATGTCTAGCTTAAACCCCAATATTTTGGGGTGTGATTTTGTGCATATGGGTTAAATTTATTGTTGGGTATTGCTCATTGATAGTCTATTTGTTGTTTAAATGTGATTTCGTTTAGTAATTGTATTTGAACTTAATAGGGTTGTAGTTGTAAATACGATATCATCTTCGTATTTTTGGCTTGCTCAAGAGAGAGGTTTTAAAACCAAAACTACTAAATCGATAGCCTGTGGTTATTGGGTTGTCGTGGGTTCAGCTCGAGGGAATGAATCCTAGGCCTTCTCCCACACATTCAGCTCGAGAGAGTGAATGGGCTAAGGCGAAAGTTGTGCTTAATTGCTGCAACTCGGTGTTTGAGAGAAACCGAGTTGATTCGGGATAAATTGTTCGAGAGAAAATTTATCCCCACTAAAGTCTAGCTTAGTTACAAATGTTCAGTGATTTACTATCAATAACATTTACCCGATTGTTTATTTTATCTCATATTCCTATCACATCCCAAGAATCCCGCTCCCTATCTCACATATTTATATTTTTGTTATTTTTGTTGTTTTTGTTAATTAGTTCAATACAAAAACCCCCATTGATAATTGACATTCGTGTCACCATTAGATTTAGTATGTGTTTATTCGTTAATATTTTATAGCTATGATTGATTAGAACTTAGTTTTACTTTACTATTTGATTCTCGATTGTTAACTACTCCCTTGGGACTCGACCCCAACCAATTCGATTGGGTTATATTACTACTCACGATCGTACGCTCTTAGAATTGGAAGAAGAGTCTTGATCACGTGAAGCATCAATGGTCGCCTAACCAAAATGGCGAATGGCCCAATTTGCAAGACCTCGCCCAATGTGACAAGTTTCACAATTTAAAATATTCAAGGCAGGTTTGCGAACTAAAATTGAGACAACGATTCACCGAAGTTATGGGAAAGCTAGCACGTCCATCGCCGAATGTGACAGATCTCTAAGGTAAAATGAAAGCTTAATAGGCGAATAGAATGGTAATCAGCTATCCACCATACGTGTTAGGCGAGCCCGACTAATGTAGCTGAACTGGTCACGCATGAAATTTTGGACCAATTTTTGGGAAACTATAAATAGTCCAAAGAAGAGAGAGAGAGAGAGAATGTATGAAAATTTTCATCATTTTTCAGAGAACAATTTAGATGATATTTTAATTAGTATTTTACCCTTTGAGAAATATTCTTAATTTTTGGTATTTTTGAACAATCTTATAATTAACATTTGAGGGTTCAAATCAAAGTGGATGTTGAAAATTATTGTTTAATTCCAACTCTCTAATGGCTCAAAACATATGGGTGTACTTTCTTTTCCTTTTATGATGTTTGGCTAAAATCCCAATTCTAGGGGTGTGATTATGGGGTTGGGTGTTGATTTAATTTCGTGGGTCTTTTGTTTTGCTCTCTTTTATTGGTGTTCATTCATGAGATTTTAGTTATTTAGCAAGAACTTATGGGTTAAGGTTGCAAACTTAATCCTAATTTTTATCTTCGATTGATGCTCGAAAAAGATCAAATGAAGTAGGTAAATAGCTTGATGCATGCAATTTAGCTTTGATTTCTATTGTTTGCACGAAAGAAAAATTGTTGTTCAATTCTAGTTGCCAAAACTGTTCGAAAAAAGAGATTTTAGTAAGATTTTGGTTGAGTTGTGATTCACATAGATGAGACCGAAATGAGATTCTATGATATGATGCTTTGAGATTGAAAGAAGATTAATGTCATTGAAGATTACCCAACGTATCCATGTTTGTCAAGCATTATTGAGAATGCACATGTACCCCTATTTGACATCTATACCAACCACACCCCTTGATCGTCTCTTACTTGTTTGAATTCCTAATTTTAGATTAATTGTGATAATTGGTACCAAAATCTTTTTTGTAAATTTTGTGGAATCATCCACCTTGTTCTTATTACTACAATGAATTTGTTTGCTTGCTTAATCTCCTAATAGAATTCCTTGCATTATATCACTCCTTGTGGAATTCGACCCCAACTCTCTTGTTGGGTATTTTTATTGTTAACGGTCTTTTATTCTTCTAGTTGTTTTTAGAGTAATTTTAGTGTTATCATGGGCCATGAACACCCCTGATGGAAGAAAAAATTGCAGACTTCAGCAACTTTTCTGCACTTTTCCACTTTTAACTAAGTCAGGCACTTCCGAAGTGTTAGACAAGACAAAAAAAATAAGATCTTTTTTCTAAAACAAATTTAAAACAAACATTTATACGTGTGGCAACGCGAGTCATGTCACCATGCTAATTGAATTGAGTCTTGGGTCTTGACTTCACATCAGTATAAAAAGAGCACGAAAAATATAAATAAATGAGTTTAAGAAGATTATAGGACCCTAGTTAAGTCTAGGTATTTCGCTGAAACTTCGGGTATAGTTCAAGATGGTACTTGTTTCATATCTCATACAACATATCAAATTGTTGATAAAAATAATGCTTATGCCTTATCCCATACAACATATCAAATAGTTGATAAAAAATAATGCCAACATAACTTGTCACAACATTATTAATACACTTTATTCAATAATATTCTTGTACACCCTACCGAGCAACTCTTTAAGCAAAGTTAGCATACAAACTCTACATTCAAACGTCTAAGTTGTAAAGGAGTCGTAGGCTATACCTAAAATTTGACACCAAGGTCAAAACTTTAATAGTAAATTAGACCTTGTCAGTCAAAATGTCTATCAAAAATGGTCATATCAAGTCATTTTAAATTTCAAACAAAAATGTTTGATATTTGAATTTTAAAAAGATAATGCATAAGTATCATGACCAAAATCCCAGCGACATACCTTAACCTAACTAGAATCCTATTACCCTACTATTGAACTAATTTGGATTCAAACAAAAATGTTTGATATTTGAACTTTAAAAGGATAATGCACAAGTATCATTAAATTATGACCAAAATCCCAGCGACATACCTTAACCTAACTAGGATCCTATTACCCTCCTATTGAACTCATTTTTTTGTATTTTTGTACACCTTGTGCTAACGTGACACCTTCAACCAGATAAGTTGATTGCGTTTGTACAACTCACGCTCGTCACATGTATAAATATTTTAAGAAAAAAAATTAGTTTTTTCTTTTATTTGTTTTAAAAGCTTCTTATTTTTTTATCTTATATTTAAATTAAGTCAATATATGTAAGAAAAAAATATTTGTCTTGTATTTAAACTCTTTTTCTTCATTTTATTTAACTTCATTCACTATTTTTTCTCCTTTTTCTTTTATTGATTTTGTTTATTCCTTTTATTTTGTTTGACTTTTCTTTTGATTTAATTTCAAATTTAATTTAAAAATTGTATTAAAATAAGCAAATTTTGAAGGATATCAAATAAGTGAAGAAAATTAAATAAAACATTAAAAATTAAAGAACAATTTTTAGTTAATTATTTTTTAAAAAATACACATAATTTTTTAAAAATAATTAAAAGAAAAAAGAAAAGAAATTAATGAAAGAGAAAAAAATAAAGATTAAAGTGAGGAAGAAATTAAAATAAATATTTTACAAAGAAAGAAATAAAAATAATTACATATGTGAAAAAAATTGTGTACTAACTAATTGTAAATAGACCAATTAAAAAAGAACACATGTTCAATTCTTTAGATCTTCACTTGCCTTCAAGAGAGTGTGCACTCTCTCTCTACCATGTCAACTTTTGGGGTGTTCTTATTCCATTTTAAAATATTTTATGGGATAAGAATACCTATAAGTTAGGTGTGCAACAAGAATTTCAATCATAATTTAAGGGGTAGTTATGCATTACCCCAACTTTAAAATAACACTTTCGACAAAAATATTTTGAAGTTTGGCAAATTTGTACACAAATTTTAACTTTATTCACATATTTAAAGTTGTTTTTGAATTGGGTAAACTTGCAAACAGACTTGAACAGGTACAAATAAATAACGGCTCCAGAAGCTAATATGAGTGCACTTTGCTGGATTAATTTCAATAATTTTTCTATAAAAAAAACATTTAAAAATAATAAATAGCTGTCACAAATCGGAATCATGATGCAAAAGACAAGTTTGAGAAATAAAATAAGCAAAATGCATTAAAATAAGAGGATAAAATGCGAACTCAGCAGAGGAAGTGGGTCAATCAAAAAAAGGAATCGTTTTTATGTATTTATCAATTGTCTCAACACTTTTCTAATTGTAGAGCTTTTCATCAAAACTTAACCGACAAGCTTTTCTGCTCACACGAATTTAGAAGAAACAAATAGATGAATTATCATGATAGACATAAGGAACCTATAATAGGAGTTATAAGAAGTGGTTGTTGATATCGTTTTACTCACTTCTAAAATGAATGAATTAGATGAAATGAATCACTAAAGATAAAAAAAAAAAAGATAAATAGAATCTTTGGTCAAAGAAAAGTGTCACATCATCTTCCTCATTTCCAGGATTATATAGATAAATATATAGATTCAATAGAAGCTACATCAAACCATACAAAGTCAAGATATACTTGGACTGGTTTCTGCAGCCCCTCTTCTCTGTGCTTATGATCTATATGCCAACATTACACTTGAATTTTAGCAATATACATATACTATCGTTTTCTGCAAAACGTTCTTCAGCAAGTGTATCCTAACAAAATTATCTCTAGGATGGGGGATATTTCCACTCTTTCCTTTCCCATACATTGGTTTGAGCCTCTCAAATATCAAACTGAAATCATAACCCCTGCATCATTGTCAACAATCGCAGCCTATACCCCAACTTTCCTGCCCCAGTAACCATTTTTGGGACAAAAGGATTCACATAATATGAAGCAAGAAAATGCACATGAAGAGGCAAAAAGACCTTCCCACCATAATTGATTATCAACAATATTATGAGATTCACCTACCCAAGGGCTCAAAGACAACCTAAATTTCATACATCTTCTGCCTGCAATAATTCAGGATACACAAAAGACACCATTTGCTTCAAGGAGTTCATAGATTCTTTCAAAAATGTATGTCCTTCCATAGCTGCAAGAATCAACAGTGTAACAGATTGAAACCATCAAAAATAACAAACACCATGCAGAAAGAATCATATAATTACACTACCTTTTGTCAGAGCATAAAATTCCTTGGAGAAGTCCTCAACATGTCCATGGACAGGTCTCATTCCACAGATTTGGATCACACAAAATTCCAGGTACAATGCCATAACAGTAATTTGCAACAGCAAAATACAGACCCCTTGTATTTCAGAAGTAACCTGCTTCAACTTGTTGGCTTCGCACAATTCAGTGACAATAGTTATTCCTTGATCCTACAACCCCAGAGTGAAACATAACATGAGTGTCATAAGACTGCTAGAAAATATCTTCTAGGAAGGTAACATGGCAGTATCCTCATGAAGTTTTTTTAAAATAATGCTGACGAATGCAGAGTTGGAAACTAGGTGCAGTTCCCTTTACATCCTACAGCACAAAACTTGTATTCCTCACATTCACCTTAGAATAAAAATTGATCATCTTTAAGAGTTTCAGGGAAGAGCCCCCATTAAAAGTGACTAACGTAGCCCAAAATCTCAAAAGAAAAATTAAAGGTTAAAATTAACAAACTATAACAGGGGGACACATAAATATTGAGGACAACAGGCTCAATACTGCAGAAGCAATTAAGTAAAACTGATCCATTCTGTTAGCTCTGTTTATTTTCCCTTTAAACAAGACAGGTGGTTAGATTGAGAAAATCCTGGGAAGTCAACCTGCAATCTTAAGCCTCCATAAGGTCAGGGACATACAAACCGCTGTGTTCATCAAACTACATTGGAATACTGACACGGACTTAAGCTCAATGCATAAATCATCCAAAGATCAAGAACGGAAAGAGGAAGATAAAGCAGTCAAAAAATGTGTTTCACCTGCAAGCAGTGAAGGATATCAGGCATTGGTAGCTCAGGAAAATGAGCAAGATCGACAAAACCCACTTCTTCAGCCCTTGCAGCAGCATCTTCAGCTTGTTGACACAAAAACTTAAGGAGAAGAGAGGTAATTCTGTATATCTGAATAGACATTGCATCTGAAAAGTGTGTCTGCGAAGTCAGGTTAGCATGCTCATTTGGTTGATCTTTGATCAAAGTAGCAGTTCTAGACGAAAAAGATGAATATTTGGGATTTAGACTGCAGCAATAAGCAGAAAAAGCAAACCAGCCATTTTTGCTACTGATAGATGATGGCTTTTTGTGCCACTCGTACTCCTCCCTAAGGGTAGGATGACAAAAGATGGGGGGAACTCTTCCTGGTGATTCCCCATGACGTGGTGTACCGCAGCTAATAAAGGCCAATAAATGTATGCATCTTTCCCTCAACTGTGACTCCATTTCTTTCATGGCCCTTGACCAGGTATTCCTATGCTTTGCCAGAACACAGATTAACATAACTGTATTTTCAATCTCTCTAAGAGCACTCAATGAAGTATGTGGTTTGAGTGCCCGAAGTCTTTTCTTATCATGATCATCTGGTGGAAAATCCGGAGCACTTAGATAATATGAAATTAGATCAGCCTTCTCCAAGAGGAAGTAAGTCACCACGTGTTCCACATTGAAAATCGAACTTTCTCCTAAAGAGTTAATAATTGCTGTAACCACAGCCAAGCTAAGTCCCCAAATAGGTTGAGCCCTTTCAATATTCTCAAAGGTGTTTGCCAGATTTCTCTCCCTCTCAACTACTGAGAGAGGTCTACCATTAGATAGGTCAGCCAACAACACACTTAACGATGCAAAGAAACCAGTTTTTACAAGCATCTCAGCACCTTCCTTCACATGTGCAATAGTCAAAAGAAACTTCAATAGAATGCCAATGTTTGAATAGGAGCTTTTATCTTGAAGTTTAAGAACAATACGCTGCATTGGGAGATGTTTTTGAATTATGGGGAACCAAGTAGCAGGTGTTGAAAAACCTTTGATTATTTGATCGGTAATAATCACAGAGAGGGAGCAATGTTCATTAAGTTCAATACAGTTGCAAATCAGCGGTAGTAGCCCCAAGCTCACATTAGCTGCCTCAGGTAAGGCTTCATTATGCTCAATTTTTGTTTGTACTCCAAGACGAGAATCTCTCCAACTTGATTTGAGTGAAAAGAGAACTAGCATCAAAAATATCTTCATTGGATAAAAAACACCAGTAACCAATGGCCTACAGTTACACAACACCTTGAGGCCATAACCTGAAGTTTTTAATATCAGAAGGCATGTAGATAAAGATAAATGTGTACTCAGAGACCTGGTAAAGTGGAAAAGCAACTCTGCTTGAGCTGCAAGAATATCAACTATGTCTTCACTAGCATCAGAAACAGGAGGTAATAGCTCGATTGTGCGGTGGAGAGACTGGCATATATTATCAATGCTAGATGACAATGATTTTTCAGGAATTTTTCTGCCACTTCTAACCTCATTATCAAGTGACTGCATAAACAAGGAAACCATGTCAAACATAGAGAGCAAATATATACAATTACCCTTTTCTTGGACAAAATTACAGTTGCTACATTTTTACATACAACAATTACACTTCAATACAAGTTGAGTGCAGCTATATGAATCCTCACTTATGGTGTTGCTTTATTTAAGTTCTTCTCAGATAAATATTATACAAACAACAACATACCCAGTAAAATCTCACCAAGTGGGGTCTGGAGAGGGTAGAGCGTATGCAAACCTTACCATTACCTCATGGAGTCAGAGACACTGTTTTCGAAAGACCTTCGACTCAAGTGCATCAAACCCATGTAAATTAAAGTACTAAAAGTTCTCTATATTTTCTATTGGCATATAAGTTAAGATAAAACACTTCTAGAAAACATAAGACCTTAAGTAGGAGCATTTATCAGTTAGTTTGTTCGGTTAGGAATGTTATTGGTTTTTGTTAGAATAGGAATAGTAATAGTATATAATATGCTACTTGGTGAAAGATCGTATTGTAGTGTCTATAAATAGGGTCTTGTGTAATAATGTAGATACACAATTCAATAATATGCATATCCAATATTTCTCATATGGTATCAGAATTCAGAGGATTGGTGAGAAACTTCCAAGGAAGAAAACTCAATCAGACAGGTCACTGTGTGTCAATTTCCAGCTACTGTCAAGGCTGATTTGTGTCATCATCTATTTCCATTAGTGTTGTGTGAAAACAAACACCACCACTAGCTCCCTCACTCTCTGACGACAAAAACCCAGTCAGACCCATGTGAAAAAAACATCTCACATGCCATTCAGAGATGCGACTTTTCCGGCAAAGATCTGACCATGCACCAGTACATGAGCTATGTTCCGGCCACTTTGCAACAGTTCTTCTTTTCCTAGTAGGATCAACACTTCAATCTGAGGCAACCCATACAATTATTTCCTGATTCCAACCAATATTTGGCAATCCGATCTAATTTTCCAGAGACCCCTGCCTTTTTTTCTAATCAAATTCTAACGATCTTTTTCAAATTTTGGCAACATGTCTCTAGATTTTTGGCTACAAAATTCTAATTTCACAATATGTCTTTAGGGGTTGATATTTTTGGCTCCAAGAATATAGGAATGAGAAGTTCAATCCCTATGATCACTTCAGAACCATTAATGGGAAGCACAAATTATTTACCTTGGGCTTCCTCGGTTGAGTTGTGGTGCAAGGGTCAAGGTGTCTAAGACCACTTAATGAAAAATGCTTGTGTGGTAGATGAATAGACAAAGGCTAGTGAGGAAGATGCAAAAGCCAAAAAACAATGGGAGAAGGTTAATGCTCAATTATGTAGTCTCCTATGCTATCCATTGATTTCAAGTTGATGCCCTTGTTTTGCCCATTCCAGACATGTCCAGGCAATCATGGAGGAATTTGAAACGTTGATGCCATTCACTACGAACGTGGAAAAACAACAAGAGCACAGGTAGACATTCTTTTTAGTTCTTACACTTGCTAGACTTCCTACTGACCATGATTCAATGTGTGACCAGATTTTAGCTAGTCCTAAGACCCATAATGAATTCTTCACTGTGTGCTTATAGTGCTTCTAATTTTCAAAAGAAAAATAAATGTATTATAAACGAATAGGTGACAAAATTCTTTTAAGTAGTTACACAAATATTTCTTTCCATGACTAGGCATATTGATCAAATTATGAGGCAATAAGGCCTTAATTTTTCTGTCATCTTCAAATGCAACGTAGGAAGCACAAACACCAACTTTTAGGCTGCCCATTTGAGTTGCATTAAATGTCAATAGGATGATAAGCAGTGTAGGTACAAAATATTTGGATCACTTCATGGAACAGAACTTGTAAGAAATAACCCTTTGAATTCCTTTATGTGCCCAAATCTTAATCAAAAAATGGTTTGGCTGTTTAGTGTCATGTTTTACGCTTTCTAGCATTTCGAGCTATTAGATGCTCTTTTATGATATTGAACTTGAATAAATATTTCGTTATATTCAAATTTATGAATTGATGGGTATATCCTCTATATATTTTGCTTGAGAGTTATTAATCTTCATACCCCCACACCATAAATAAATAGCTTTTTGTCCAATTCTTTTTGGCCGCTCTTCTCAAAATGTTTTGGTTACAACACTACTATGCCTATCTGTGCTACACAAAACGCAATGAATAATTCAAAGTAATCATAGTTGCAACCACAGTTGCAAGCTATGCATACTTTATGCTAGAGAAACTGGGTGTAATGAAATACAAACTAAAGCAGGAACAATCTTCATAAGGCCGATCTGAAAAATCAAACACCAATAATGCTTCTGATATATAATCTGAGCAATGACAAAGCTTCACCAACCATGGTACCCCGATTCAAAAAAGTTTCACAATGTAATGACTTATAAGATTTAAAGGTTATGCATTAAGGTAATGACTTAAATCTAGAAGACAGTACGTAGAAACTGGACATGCAACTAAAAATGGAGCTCACAGCATCACCATAGATAACACTGTTGCCGATGCTTTTTAAGGAAATAAGTTCATACAATTGAAAATCCTAAATAACTCAAAATTAGAAGATTGCATAAGAAGTCAAATGCAACTGACCGCAAAACTCACATTATCATTGTCAGATATGGAGAAAGTAGTTGCCAAAGCTATTAAAGCTGAAAGCTTGGATGTTGTGAGTGACACCATGACATTCACATTCTGCAAAGAGAGCAACAGCATTTCTGCAACCACTTTGGATGCTTTCCAATCCGAAAGATCCCACAAATCAATAGCCATGTCCCCTTGCAGACGGTCAGTGTCATATAAGCAGACACCATCAGTTTGAGGGAAAATGTCCTCATGGTGCTTGCGCTGATATGTTTGCAAGAAATTTGACTGTAGCAGATATTGTGACAGCTCCTTGAATGGCATGTGGGAAATATGTCTACCTTCAAGCTCTCCTTGCAGATGATAGAATAAATCATTGAGAATTAAGTCGTCCAGTTCATTTCCTCCACTGGAAGAAAACAGAATAGACAGAAGAAAGAATAAGTCTTGAGTTTGTGTAACTTATAGAATAGATTGATCCACTGGATACACAAGGTATTTTGCATTTCAGTTGCTTCTAAAATATTTTTGGGTTGTATAATCACACGCATGAAGGAGAGCCTTAGAGCAACGGTTAATTATTTCCATGTGACCTGTATGTTGTAGATTTGGAGCCATGGAAAGCAGCTGCTTATATCACACCCCCTTGGGGTGTGGCCCTTCCGGGGACCCTGCGTGAACGCAGAATGCTTCGTCCCAACTGCCTTTTTTTGTATAATTACATGCATGCCCCGTTGATTTAAATTATTACTCAACAAAAAGTAATACAATTGGTCCATTCTGCCTCAACTCTTGAGTAACAAATTACTATAAATTTCCCACACTATTAGTTACTCATGTCAAATAAGACTATGATCAGGATATCGCTATCATATAATAACTGAGAACTACTCCCTCTGTCCCACTTTATATGACTTACTTTCCGTTTTACTCGGTCCCAAAAAGAATGACACATTTCTATAATTAATAACAATTTAACTTTAAAATGTTCATGTTACCCTTAATGAAATGATTTCTAGGCTCTAGCCACACAAATATCTAGGACTTATTTTAGACCACAAGTTTCAAAAGTCTTTTCTTCTTTCTTACACTCCATGTCAAGTCAAACAAACTCATATAAATTGGGACAGAGGGAGTAGTAAATAACAGACAAACCAGTTCCAGGACCAGTCTCACTTTCACAAGGCATGAAAAAATCAAGCACTTACCTGTAACCATGCTTCGTATAAATAGCCATCAACTCAGAAAAGGCTGGCAACTTCCTCAACTGTAAAGGGAAAACAAACATAATGTAGAAAATAAGTATCTCTGATTGTTTGAAATGCAAGATCGTTTGAAATGCTGCAAAAAGAAAAAGGAATAAAACCTTTTCCCACAGGTTAGTAACTTTATCAACGAGTGAAACAGACAAACTTCCTCTATCACCGCCTTTTACTTTACACATGATGCGCACAGCAAACAGACCAGCAGCAACCTGCAAGTACTATCACTAATGATTTAAGGCATACTCATTTGATGTATTACCAAGGGACAATAAGAAGGTTTCCAGAAAATACTGAAAAAGCCTCATATCAATTAAAAAGATAAGCTGTTTTGAACAACTCCATTCACTCTGAAGGTGATATTTTTAGAACAAATTCAGAATAAACAAATCAAAAGAACAGTAAGCGGAGTTTACATGAAAAATTGAAAACTCCCTAGAGAGTTGAAAAAGCGCCTGATACAACCTTAGGAGAACCACACCCTAAAAGCTAGTTATCAAGGTGGGAGAGCCCAAGGCTATAAGCCCCACATCAATTCCCTATTTAACCGATGAGGGACTGAAGTCCCATTCCTTGCAATAATATCATAACAAACTACCACGCTCTGCATCCGTCGTCCTCAATGGCTGTGCGCTAGACATAACTATCCCCGGACGAAAACTGCCACACCGGCATCACCATCCAAGCACATGCAAACACCGTGGGAACAAACAACGGGGAGATGACAGATATAAAACTATTTAAAGAAAGAAAGATTTGAATTCACAAAACACATGCAACATTTAATAGGTTGAATCTGATAAGATCTTGAGATCTTATAGGATTTCGTGTCATTAGAGAAAACAAGAGAGAGCCGTATTGCTGACTTGATAATTTGTTGAGCACACGATACATCTATTTTTTTGATAAAGAAAAAAAAATACACATGTGAAATATTACCTGTGTCAAACATTACACATGTAGTCCAATGTGAAATAAAACTGAAGACTCAACACCTCTAACACTTCATGTCGCAACTTGATGGGTACACTAACTCAAACATTCTAGCTCTAACACATTATGTTGCAACTTATTTAATTATACTAATTTATTTCGCCTCCTCAAGACTCTAGTTAAGAAAATGAAGACCTAGATTAAAATCTAAGCAACTATAAGGATTCAACTTCAATCCAAAGGTACAAATAGCAAAGTGAAATAGAATGCCTCTGTCATTATTCACATGCATTATCAACATGAAGCTGAAAGTCAGAACTAGCAATGATGTAAGCTAACATAAACCAATGTGGAGACTTAGTTACTACGTACAATCAGAATAGAAAACAAGAGTTCCAGGAAATACAGCTCACCCTTGCACGCAGCTTTACAGAATCATCATACTCAAATGAAACAAATGTCTTGATAGTCTCCGCATCCAATGAGCTCCCACACCACGCTCCAAAAATTTCCTTCAGGTTACATGAACTTTCAGCTGTTGCTACTTTACAGCCATCTGACCCGTTATGTAAACATTTGGAAGATTCTTTTGTGACCAACTCAGAATGTAAAATCTTTTTCTGCAGGATCATTTCACAGGCCACCACATCCAATACATTATGTTGACACTGATATCTGTATGCCAGATTTTGGAGCTCCAATTCGGTCGTGCTATCAGATTGGCAACTCTTCTTACTTATGGAAAGCACGGCAGAAATCAGTAGCTTTTCCCAGAAGTCTGAATTTCTCAGCTGCTTCAGAAGATTTGTATAATGAGCAGCTCCTTGCCATAATGCTTTTAGGAAGTTTAGCACATTACACATTATACGTGATTTGCTGAAAGAAACCAAAAAAGAACTCTTAAATCAAATCATGGAGTACCTCAATAATTAAACGTCACAAGGAATAATGAAATGATTTATGGCATAACAAAAATGACTAGAAACCTTACGTCATCACAAGATCATCAGATCTTTTAACATAAATCCATATGCAATCTAATATGTTTGCAGCATTGCACTGTAATGCATCATTGTTGGCTGGATGATTGTCACCATTGCATGATTCAGAAATTGAATTTTCTTCCAAAGCGATCACAGCGGTAAGAAAAGAAGCCTACGAAAGAATGGTTTTCAATTTAAATACCAGAAAGGGCCAAAGATTATGATCTTTTTCATACCCAATTCAGCGCTTAAAACTAAATCTATTAAGGGATTAGACACTAACAGTAACAAAAAATCAAATAAATACATTTTAGTGACATCTAAAATGATAGGAACAGTTACTGTGAGAGTTGCCATTGGATAAGGGAAAAGGAGATATCGCTGTTATTGCTGCATAGAGAAAATGGGTTAATTGGAACATCACACTATGAAGAAGTACAGGAATCTCTATGAGTGGGAATTATTTGAGCTCCTACACCTCAACACTTATCTGCTGCAAGGAAACCTGAACCCTATTGCTACAGATAGAATAAAATGGCGCAATCAGGGAGAAGGCAACTACACTGTAAAGTGTTACCAGCAATTATGCTCCTGCAACTCCATGCTAGACAACTGTCCCTGGAAACTTATTTGGCCCAAGCCTTATAAGGAGCCAAGGAATCCATTCATCAACCCCCACCCCCCACCCCCTCTCCACGTCCAGATCCAGATATTCTTTTTATCTGGGGTTCCTCTGTCCAGTCCAGTGTGTGCACATTCATGGACTGGTGGCCCACATCGGGTCTAGCTCTAATACCATATAAAGAAATGGATAATGGTCCTAACTCAACCTCAAAAGCAAGCTCATAGGATGAAGAATGTCCAAGTACATATAAGGAGACCAATTGCCCATCCCTTTTCCGATGTGGGAGTTCTTAACAATGACGATTGACTGGTTTGTATAAACACACATTATAAGTTACAGCTGTGTGGAACAAGGAGTTTACATTCTCCACTTGATTGCTTAAGGTAAAAATGGGTATAAGAAGCTATTTATTGACTTTCACCCCATTGTAACAAAACAATACTGAAGATAACCTGAGCAAGTGTTGCAGAAGCTTTGAATAAAGATGCATAATATAGTCATGAAAACATTTTTTAATGACAATAAAATTGATTTAGAGGCAAAATGGTCATAATACAGCAAGTTGTCCTTCCTTCGTTCCTTTAAATAATTGGCGGGATATTTCTATGTCAAGGTAAAATTTGGGACTGAACTAACACAACGCCTTCCATCTTCATCATTTTCTACTTTACCCATGACCTTGGTAAAAAAATCAACTTGGATCAAGTTTGAAGCTCAAGGGCTCAAGGACTTTAGGCTTGATAATAGCTTTAAATGCTCCTGGGCAATAGGTCGTTCAGATATAGGAGATCCCATGGTCTGGCAGCAATGCAGCAGATTATGAGCTCAAAAAGAAAATAACAAGTGACAAATTACCTGATAGCGTGCAGCAGAAGTAAGCATCTTGAAAGTAGCAATTATGAGATCCTCACTTTCTACTTTCTCTTGACAAAGAATGCTACAAATGGTATTTTTAAAATTATATATCTGCAAATGCATTAGTTGAGATCAGTTAAAATAGCTTAACATTTATTCCACAAAATAATAAACTTAAGAAAAATAATACCGATATTTTAAAGCTAAACCTGCTTGTCATCCAGACCGAAATATACATTGCTAAGTGCATATGATTGTGAGTCGTCTCCAATAATAAACAACCTGGAGAGCAGTCTTGCTGCACCAACCTGTATCTTCTGCATTGGCAGCAGATGTTTGCATTTAGCACAGTTACAAACCATATTAGACCTTCGAATGATTTCACTGGAACCTATTTTGGTTTCCTTTTGAATGCCAAGACTCTATTTCCAACAGAAGATTATTTCATGTAATTTCTGATACTACCCGGAAATTAAAAAAAATAGTGGAGAGAAGTAGATAGATACAACCTTAAAAAAGCTGCAACCTTTAACTAAAAGAAGAGTGCACAGGAGAGCGCTAAAGGTTCAACAAAATAAAACACATACATGCAATAAATGGTGTAGATTTTGCTCATCATTAGAAACCTGTTAATCCGTTTTTTACTTTTTTGAGTTTTTTCTTCCCCACCCACCCCCCACTCCAAAAAAAAGAGAGACCTTGATGCAGCACAGAGTTTTTTCCAGAAACATTCTGCAAGATCAAGCTCTTTCTTGTAGTTTACATTATCCTAAAGTTCAGTATTAGATAAAAAGAATAGGTTGATTTCGTTTTAAAACTATAAAAACAAATCCATATTATTTCTCTTTGCAGTCAGCACTTAGATTTTCATAAGAATCTTGTCACATTTCATTGAGGAACCTAGTTTTTCTTAATACTTACTAGAGGCACATATAAACCTGAACCTACATGACTTCCCTCTTAGAGATTCTGCGGTATTCAAAGCGCTAAGGCATGCACCCAGCACCTCTGCCTTTAAGAGGGTGGCACTAGACAATAAATAGAGTTGGCAAATCAATATATTGATTATTAACACAGCATTATGATGAATGATGTAGATATTAGGAACAGAAACTAGAAATTGCAAGGAAACTAGTCACCGGAAGCTTTAATAGGCAAATTTACATTTAATCAGAAAATGGTTCTTGAACTTGACTAACTTGATTTTTTGCTTCATATATTTCACCCAATTAATTTTTCAATTTTCTTACTAAAACAATAATTGTTTATGTTAGTTAAAAAAAATTGAGAATGATAATGTTAGTGTTAGTTAATTTTCTTGCATTTTATACCGAACTAATTTTCTTCATTAGCTCCTTTCTTTAAAAAATCCCATCTTTTAATATGCTGCAAAGCCCCAGAAGCAGGCCTTGCCATTTTTCTACATTTTCATGTTTTAGAAAGAATGTCAATTTTTATATTGGCAGGTAGTCTAATAGACAACTTCTACTTACACTGTTTTGAAGTCCCGGCCACCCCACTCAATGGAGTTTCATCGGACACTTCAATTCATTTAAAACAAGTATTTTAAACCCCTCCGATAATGTGTGTTCCTTAGTTGCCCAGAGATGGATGATACATCAGATCCACATCACACGACAAGTTAAAGAAAGATTAAAATCAGAAAAAAATAATTATTTATTTTTATAGTTGAGAGTTAGTTTTTTGAGAAAAGTAACATATCATATATATATAAAAGAGAACCCTAGGCTGTCTACGTGGCGCCACCACAAATCAGGATTCCCTTTTAGTTTATTTATCTCCAAAACTAGTCTTCCCCTCCTCTCAGAAACCTTCACAACTGTCTCCACCATCTTACAAATTAAGCCTCCACCAAATCTTCTATATGTATAACTATCAGGCCCCTTTGAACTTAAGTAATTGACCACCAGATAGTAATACTGGGTCAAACTTTATCCTATGTATAATTGCATTGCTGCATGCATTAGTCTACCGTTTCTCGATAATCTTACTTTTCCGTTGGTGATTTGAGTTAATCATATTTTTTTCTTGGGGTGGTACAATATAGATTGAATGTCAATGTCATTTATTAGAGCTTTGAATTGATATATGAAGTACACGTTGTTGGATTTTTAAAGGTATGAATGAAATATGAAGAGTTGTGACTTTTATGAAAAGTTGCGACTTTTATGAAAAGTTGCGACTTTTATGAAAAGTTGTAACTTTTATGAAAGGTTGTGACCTTTCCGAAGGGTTGTAACTTTTCCAAAGAGTTGTGAGATTTCCGATAAGGCACAATAAGCATGTGTTCACACCACCCTTTGTTGTCTATAAATAGAGGGATATTCTCTCATTTTAAACAACGCAAATTATGAACTTTTTCTTCTTCTACACGATTAAATATTTGTGTACTTTACTCCTGTTGAGTGGCTCACTGACACCATTATTTTTGTATCAATACATTGGTGAATAGAATCGTTCTATCCTGAGAGGAATCTTTTAATCCTCGGGTACTAGCAGGAATAATTTCCACAGGAGGACATAGTGCATTCAGTGGGCTCGATTTTTTCCTTTCTATTTCATTATATTCTTACTGATCCTGGAATGTTGTTTACAGTCATTAATTTATGTTTTATGTTATTAATTGTTGTTTTTGAGTACATGATTTAAACTCTGCAAAGTTATTGTTATAAGTATTTGTTATTACAGATTAAATAACACGCATTAATTGAGTATTCACGTATGTTTTCTCTCCAGAAATTGTTGAAGGTATAATAAAAAAATCCCTTAAAGATATATACTACCATCTCTTGAAGACAAAATTCAAACTTGGTATGCCATTGTAAGAACATAACGATCTTAAAAACGTTATCGTACCTTGATGTGCAATGTGAACCAGCAAAAGAAGACAAGAAATAATAAACTTTTGACATGGCTTCAAGAATGTTGTGTCGGATGACCTATAGAGGAATATGACTAGACTAGAGCCTCTTTTAATCCCAAAGACGTAAATAACTACACAATAAATTAATTGTTCATATTCAATATGAAGTATGGATAGATTCTCAAGTTTATAGCAAGTTTTAAATACTTTTCTTGAAGTAATAGATGTGTTTCTCTACAATGCGATTGGAATAGAAGTGTAATTTCAAATTGAACTTCATTACACTAGTATGCTGATTTTTAAAAAGCACCCAAACAAACTAAATAGTTTTGTGTAATATTTTTCCCTTTCAAGTATATATGATAAGTTGAATTGTTGTCCAATATGATACATTCTTCCTTTAATTTTCCATTTTAATAATTTTTTATGATACATTTAAATTAGGAACTTTAAAATGATATTGTAAAGCAAAAGGTAGGGCTGAACTTTCTACAAGTTAAAATTAGAATATTTGTTTACTATGTTCATTTGATTCCCCACATATATCAAACAGTAAACTTCCTGGAAGCAAAAGGATAAATTATAAAATTATTAATGTTCATTACTACGTAATCTTGTATGTAAGATAATATAGTGTTTTAATTTTAATGACCGATAGGTTTTAAGTATTATTTTATAAGTTCTGTGATATTGAATTCCCGCGCGAGGCGCGCGTTAGTTTACTAGTGTGTATATAAATGAAAGGACGGTATAATCATACAAAATTACACAACTCCTCTATCATCTAAAAGGAGTCTAAAACATCAAAAATTGATTCATGGTCTTCAACACAATCTCCTCTACACCAAAAATACAAAAGTACCTAGCCCTTCATCTTTATCTTCAAAGCATCTATTGTTCATTTCCTCCCACATTATCCACCAGATAAAAGTTGAGACGATCTTCCATCTCTCCTTCTGAAGAGAGTTAGCTCTTTCTCTTTTCCAACACGCTAGAACTATGCTCCTAGGCATGCTCCAACTTACAGCTCTTAGGCTGAGAAACATCCTCCATAGTTGAGTAGTCCTATTACAATGTAAAAAGAGATGAACAATTGGCAGAAAGAGATGAACAATTGTCTCTGCCTCTTCTCCACAAAGGTAGCATCTAGAGCATAACTGATATTCTTTCTTCTAAAGGAATCATGTGTAAGAACAACTTCTCTAGCTAACACACAGGTGAAGCCTGCTACCTTGTATGGTATTTTAACCTTCCATGGCCAACACTCAATTTGATTGTTAGAAGAGTACAATGCCTTGTTCACAATGTTAAGAGTAAAATTTCCTTGCTTCTCCCCACTCCACCTAATGCTATGCTCAGATGTTGAAAGTTCCTTGACCTGTTCTAAAGTTGTAAACAGATCTTCTAGCCTGTCTATTTCCCAATCATTAAGTGGTCTTCTGAAAGTGAGATTCTAGTCTTGATTGCTCCATAGTTTTCCTACTGATGCCACCTATAGTATTGAAAGTATATACATTTCTGGAAACCTCTGTTTCAAATTTTGATGGATGGTCCTTGAATTAGCCTTCCTCCCATTGAACTATATTGGCTCTTTCAATTGGCTAATTTCTTTTAACATTTCTCCAAGGTTCTATTCCATATATCCTTTGTCTCGTGTTCGGCTCCCTAAAGCATCCCTAGATACAGTAGGTAGAGCCCCAACTCTTCCACCAAGAATACTCACCAAAAAATGAAACTAGTTCACATCATTTACTAGATAAAAAAAGCTTACATCTTCAAAGAGAATGGAAATAATCCTTAGTATTCACAGTTGGTCTCACAGAACACTAGGGTGTCATCTGCACATTACAGATGAGAATTCTCCAGAACGTTGTCTATCATTGAACTCACCTTAAAACCTCTAACCTTAAGTATATCCATAGCTACGATGAATAAAAGGGAGATAGGGGATCACCCTGTCTCAAGCCCCTCTGGATGGAAAAAGAACCAATTGGTGATCCATATACAAGGATCGAAACCTTACTGTATGTCTGTACGGATGCAATATTTAGTCCAGCTGAACATCTGTCACCGAAACCCATTTTCCTCAGAGTTTCTGATATGTAGATCCAGTTGAGACAATCATAAATCTTCTCTATATCGAATTTGCATAGATTCCAGGCTCCTTGCTTCTAATTCTCGTATCCATCTCATTGACAATCAAATTAGAATCCATAATATCTTCCTTTAATGAAAGTCATTTATTGATTGGCCACCAGTTTGAATGTTACTTTCTTCAATCTCTCAGTCAAGAGTTTGGAAATGACCGTGTAAATACTTCCCTATCGAGCTTGATGGGCCTGAAATCTCTCAGCTCCTTTAGTCCTCTAACTTTTTTTTTTGGAATCAAGGCTACAAAAGTAGCATTACAGCTTCTTTCAGAAAAAAAACTTG